TTTCCCTCACTTTTACACAATCTCTTTCCTATCGCAAACCTCCTCACAGCAGATCCTTCGCCTCCGCCGCCACTCTATTGAGCCACGATACCACCTGACTCTGGCGAACGGTCCCGGAGGGCAATTCAAACGGACCAAGTGTCAACTGATGCCTTGAGGCCGCATAGCCCATCACACATCAACCAAGTGTCTTGTGTCGCGTCGCTTTACGATTCCCTAGTTGGGACGCGACAAATCTAGCACGGATGTAGGAAAGGGAGAAAGACTGAAGCAGACATCATGTCTAAAACAGTATCTCTCCGCTATGCTCGGGCTCAAAGCCCAGCGTCTGTAGCTTCCCATGGCGCTTCTTGTCGCCAACTTTCCGGGCTCCGTCTTCCTTCTTCTTCAGCTCAAACACTTCCTGGAACGACGCGCGCTGGATATGAGGGGGGATGTCATCTTCTTTGTCGAGATCCTGTAACCCGGAAAAGTAAGAGAACATTAATTAGCCAACCTCCGGCTCTAAACATGAATAGCGAAGAAGACACATGGAAGTTTCACGTACAATTTCACCAAGAAGCAAGACATTCTCACCCCGAACGAGAAATATACCGCGCGGGATATCGGCGTAGAGATTGCCAGCATATAGACGTTCAATGGTATCCTGAAGGACGAGGTTTGCTGCAGCAGTCACATAGCAAGGGTCGCATGGTCAGATATATATCCTTCATCAAGAAATGTTGATCATGTAGCGCATACCGAACTGATCCCAGCTTCTCAGAACTCCGATCAACTTCCGCCCGTCTCGAAGGACTAGAACTAGCTTCTCTGAAGACCATTGTTAGGTTGGGTTCGATTTAAATTATGACATAAGCCCACGGGGGTCAAGTAAAGTAGTATAACGTACTATCAGTCAAATCCAACAGCTGGGCAGCAGTGGTGAACATCTGCGGCGGTAATTGCGGGGGACCTTGCGACATGGGTCCGAGCGTGTTGTTCTGCGGGGGGAAGCCCTGCGGCGCATTGCCATGGTGGGCACCGGCCGGGTTCTCATTCATTGGAAGGCGTTCCATGTTTGACTCAGAAGCGGGCATAAAGCCAGAGGTGGGTGTATATGGAAAGACAGGTAGCCATTGCATTGCTGCTGCGGCCGATCGAAGGAAGTCAGTGACGGGTTGGTGGGTGTTTGTTCTGTTTGTTTTGCTGCTCAATCAATGGATCGCAGGACAGACTCCACAAGTTTCCTCCACTATTGATTTCCTTTTGTTGCGGTAACTGCTAAAAGGAATAAGATATTATGTGATACTTATCCTGGTAATATACCTATGATTCAGGGCAGCGTGCATCACGGCTCCTTCTGATGTGGCCAATACTTATGGTGGAATACCGGGGATGATGGCAGTATATAGAGTGTCTCGGCTCACGATTACACTGGATCCCAACAGATGATAAGATGATTCTGTTATATAATTGAACCGAGTGCAGAATTCTTAGAGGTCAGAGGAGTATCTGGTATACTAAATCTACGTTCTAGCTGGGTTCCGACCAGGCAGGAACGATGCCACAATTACGATGCTACCTTCCTGCCGCTTCTAAGCAACCTAGTATATATTGTTCGTACTCATGGATTCTGCCTTTTACTTAGCTGCTAAGGGATGAAGATCAGGTAAGAAACATCTCTCAAAAGTATAACTATCAATTGCTATTGAAGACATTCGAACGCAGCATTCCACCATAGTCCATGGTACCCCTCACGATACCAACTTGGTTGCTTTGAGGCTATCGCTGATAATACACAACTCGGTAAAACTTATAAACGACATGACAGAAGAGAAAATAGCAGTGAGCTTAGATGAGAAAAGATGAAGAACTGCAGCTAATCGCAGCCAATCAAGCGACGCTAACCCCTCGACGCTGATTACGCATTCTCTCCTCGCGGCGCCGACTATACGGAGCACAGTAGGGCTCATCGGAAGAGCCGATGCTTGCACGAACTGGTTCCTGCGATTGATGGTATGCAGGGCTCGAAGGGGGCGGCGGGAGTTGCATCACTTTGAATTGATCTACGCTGATGATCCTGAGGCCATACAGGTACTGCATCAACTCAAAGTCAGGCCGACTGCCGGCCAGAGTCTGGCCCTGTTGATAGTGGACCACATCGACGTGGTCGAGCATTGCATCCCATGCTCTCGTTTCAGCGGTATCGGTAAACCGTTCCCCAGGACACAGGGGACAGCGCGCTGTCTTGGGAGGCTCGTGTGTGCGAAAGTGGCTGAAGACATGGAGTCTCCAGTCCTCGGCATTGTCAAACGTGATGTGACAGTCAAGAAGATGGAACAAACAGATATAAGTATAGGGGGTGGTGCGATGATCAGTTTGAGCTGGGACAATGAGGGCGCCAGTTCCATCATCCTCGAGGATCTCGTGACCTGCGAGCCCGGACGCCCATCTTGTGTCCAAGGATGCACTTGACGAGGATGCAGGCGTCGAGGCAGTGTCGTTCGATAAGGAGGGGACAGCTGTTGACGGGGGCATTTTCGTTTTCTCAAGACGACGCCTTCACTCTGGCTCTAAGGACCTAGAGCTTATGCTTTTTTCTCTCTTTCCCCTAGAGGGTTGAGAATTCAAATTCGCGCGCAACTGGAATTATACCGGAGTTCCTGATAAACCGCCGAGGCACGCCAGAAGCGCCCCAAGATGGGCAACAACGAAAGAGCGATCCCGTTCGAGAAAGTGGTCGAGAAGAGCCTGTTTCCCACATGCTTAGTCTGTGTGCAGCTGAGGGAAGACACAGAGCCAGTCATGGCTGTGAAGCTTGTCACCATTCCCCTGCTTGAGAAGCGGGGAAGAAGATGGGGAACGGGAGTGAAGCAAGTATTTCTCCATGAGAAGAGAGGCCATTTTGTTACCTTCTTATTTTTTTTTTCAAAGAAAATATTATATCTCCGATTTATCAAGGTAATCCAGACATAGTCATTCAGCGACGAAGCACCGAAGTATGGACCAGAGCATCACAGCGCGATCAACCTTGCCAGGAAAGAGAAGGTGGAGAGCGGTTCAGCGACGGCCATGGTGGGTTTGAGGCTCCAGAGGGCACATGGCGGGGAAGGGAAAATTAGTTAAGGGAAAAGTAGCGATGATGGAACGAAGGATGGAGGAGAATTAATTGCAGAGAGAAACACAAGGAGGGGGGAATGCCGGAAAAGCCCGTCAACGATGATTAGTCGCTTCAGTGAGCAGTCAAATTTCAACAAACCAGAATAAACCACTACTTACTACCTATCTAGTGGACTGGCAGCCAGCAAAGCCCATCCAGCCCTGTCCGGGTTGTGGAGAGAGTAGGAGATGTGCGAATACCATTCCGTGGATAAGACCAGCAACATGCCTCCACGACATCCACCACCCGCTTGCTTGGCTTGTTTGCTTTTTCCCCTTCCTTTCCTTCTCTTCTCTTTAATTTACATTCAAACTGACATATTTAGTAACATCTGCAATTGAGCAAACTCACTGCTTGACTGACTGACCACTCGGAAGAACAGTTCACCAATCTCCCCCCATCAGCACTGTCTTTCTACTTTGTGGCTATCAGTTTATGGTCGGGGATCACGGATGAAAATGAACCGATGATGCGCATCATTTTAATCTGTGCTGTATCTATTTAATTTTCATCCGACGCAATCCCAGTAAAGTACGCAGTAGAATATTTCAGGCAGCCCATTCACCAACACCCCCACATACATCCCTGCATCGGACCACGCCGATAGCCAAAGGAAGGAACATTCATCTATCACATTTGTTACTGATGTATACAATAAATACATACCGACATGCGAAAACCAGACCCCGGGGCTTGAAAAGCACTCCCCACTACTTCTAGACCGGAAGTTCTAGTCCCCATGACTTGCGGATATCTATCTATCTACCTAGGATTCCTGATCAGCCAAAAGTCTATAAGTAGTAGCTGAGAAGCTAAGATAACGTGAAAGAAAGGGGCTTGGCTGCTGACCCTCCAGGGGAGAGAGAGAGAGAGAGAGGACTGATCATGCGCGACGACTCTACTCGAGAAAATGATGACCTGACGATCGGCGTCTATTCTATCCTGAGACAAGACACACACACACACACCCACACACAGTGGGAGAGGATCATTGGGATCCAGTTTTTTTTTTTTTTTTTATTTTTATTCATATTACTCAATACATAACTACTACTGTACGTGCCGACTCCGAAACCCGGGAGGTATGGTCATGGTTTGGTCTTGCCGTCATTTTTAATTTATTTATCTATCCACAGTGGTATAGTGTATCGTGGGGGTGGACTCGTTCCTAAAAAGTATTCCTAACCTATGTCGTGTAGATCTGATTGGCTACTGGGTGGGAATTTATTACATAGTAGTACTATCGTAAATGATCCATATTGGTGGTAGTATGTTCCAATTAAGGCTTATTTAGAATTTTTTAGAGTGACTTCCTCTTGTCCTGCTCGAGGTCTATAATCACATGTTTTTGAATGGGAAGGTTCTTCTTCGAACCAAGTGTGATGTGTTTCGACACATGAATTTAAAGGTTTGATGCCTCAGAAGAGAAGAGAGAAGAAAATAGGGAACACAAGAGCTGATGAGCAATTTCGCTTGGTATAGGTTTAGTGGAGAGAGAAGGAGATGTTTCAGAGGAAGTTTGTGGGGGAAGGTTGGGAAAAAAAGTATTTGATGAAAAAAAGAAAGGCAAGGAGGATCAGAAGAGGGGACACAAAAAGAACAAATTCACAGGATATCCCGTCCATCTATCAGTAGAGACGCCTTGCAACAGAAAAGTAGTAGGAGGAAAAAAAAAACAATGAGAAAGATAATCCAACAGAAAAGCTGAGGAAGAAAAACCACCCAATCACCCGACACCAATGATGCCCATGAACCTTTGTAAATGCACAAGTCTATTCGGTCGTAGCGCGCATAAAAGAACTGCTGATTTTTTGAACCCAATTTTTACACAAACCAACGTGTGACTGAAGAATGTTCGAACTTAGAAACGTTCGGCCAGGTCACCACCGGCAACGGAATTCGCGGTCGACGAAGTGACCGACGAGAATCCACTACTAGGATTCAACATATCCTGAACGGCGACTTTCGGCACCTGAGGGACTGGCAGCTTGCGCTGTGTTCCGTCCGGTTTAGACATGATGTCCGAGATACTAGGACCATGGTGACCCTGGGAAGGACTGTAGTAGTTGGGCCCTTCCGGTTGTGGTTCCATCGGAGCAAGAGCTGGTGTGTGGTGGAGCGACAGATGACGGATAGACGGCAAATGCAGATCGCTGGAGCCCAGGGGTCTCAAGCGCGGCGAGTGAGCGGGAGTCGCCAAGGGAGTGTGATCGGGAGTGGGTGAGAGGGAGTCGTGGGAGAAGGTGGGAGAGGAAGGAGCAGTCGAGTTGGGAGAGTTAGGTCTTGAACGTTTCACACGGTGCGAGTAGCCGTCGTCGTCTTCATGTGAATGCGACCGGCTCATGTTGTGTGTGATCGCGTAAGCAGACAAAGAGGGCAGACGGCCACTTCCGTGGTGGCGCGAGCTGAACAGATGGTGATTGCGTGGCCCTGCATGGAAGCTGAAGTGTTCGTCGCGTTCCACCTGCGACGCAGCCGTCGCCAGGAGGTTAATGTCCATGCCCGACGATGCCCGTTCGCTATTGCGAGCATACGGGCCCAAGTTCGACCGCATGTGACTGGCGTAGTTGGAGAAGGAGTGAGGGGGAGAAACGTCGGGGGAGCCGACCTGCGACACGGGGGCCGACCGGGTCATTGGCTTGCTGGGAGGAGGCATCATAGCGCTGGCGGTGTTGGCCATGGCGTTGTCCTGCCCTGCAGCAGCTGCAGCGGCCGCGGCCAGATGCTGAGCCTTGTTGCTGCGCCTCGAATTAGGGTTGTTGTGGATTCGCGAGTGGCGCGTAAGCTCATCAGAACGACTGAAGCGCTTGGTGCAGCCGGGGAATTGGCAGGCGTGCGGCTTTTCACCCGTATGCGTGCGAATATGCCTTGTCTGGTGCTCCAGACGGTGAAACGCGCGATCGCAGAGGGGGCACTTGTAAGGGCGGGGAAGATCCTGACGCACTTCTTCGGTCGCAGGCCGGGCACCCTTCATAAGCGGCGGAAGTAGGCTGACTGACGACGCCATGTTGGAGTTCGACTGTGTGCTGGACGGAGTAGAAGGAGTCTTGGAGCTGTCCACAGGGGTGGAAGGGGTAGAATCAGTAGAATTGCTTTGAGGGTTCAGCAGATTTGAGAAATCTACTGAAGAGGCCGGTGGCGGCATGTGAAGCTTATCCCAAACCGACGAGGGTAAAAAGGTAGGACAGAGCCGGGTTTAAAAAGAACACGTTCGGAAGGGATGAGAAGCCGAGGCGATAGTGATGCACGTCGCGACCAGGGGTAGCTATATCGGCCAGTCGATCACCACCCGCTAGCACCCCAGACCTAACCTTGGCAAGGAGAGATGATAGGAGGAAGACCGCAAGGGTAGTGAGGATCACAGGGCCCTGATGACGAACCAGGGCGAAGCGGTATTCAATTGTAAATTCAACCAAGGGCTGATAACGACGAATTCCCTTTCAATTATTGAAGGGATACGGAATGTGTGGTAGTTATGATAAGTGTTGGGTGAAGCCGGAATCGGAAATGGACCCCGGGGGTGGATGAGTAGCGAGCCGGACAAGGATGATGTTGAGCAAATGGTCTCGAAAAGAGGAGGGAGAAAGAAAACCTGGAGAAGATGATCTGGGGAGATGAATATATAAGAAGAGAAGAAATCGGGAAGGGCGAAAAGATGAGGAATGGAGGGAAGAAGAAGGAAACGGAATTCGGGGGAGGGAGGGAAAAGAGGGCGACTCGTAGAGGGGGTGGGTTATCGGAATCGGAGAGCAGAATGGGAACGCGAAGAAAAAAAAAAAAAAGAAAAAAGAAAATTAGAAAATTGAAAAAAAAAAAAAAAAAAAAAAAAATTGGATAAAAAAATCGATGAAAAGGGAAATATGATTGAAATAAAAAAAAGGGAAAATAAAAAATCGAAAAAAGAAAAAGACTATGTACTTTGTGTGGGGATAAATATCGGGGGGGCAAAAAAAGCAGGAAAGGGAAAAAGAACGTGCTTGAACCAGATCGGCTGCTTTGCTTCTTGGGGCTTTAAACCGGGCAGTCAGCTTTCCTAGTCAGATGGAACGCAGTGCTTTGTCGTTATCTTTCATGCTCTTCTTATCCTTTTTATAATTTCTTGCCTGGATATATGATGTTATGATCACTTGGTATCTACCGCTCTTATACTCAGTACATGAGTTCTTTGGTGAATATATGGATATACTCTCTTTAAAGTCCTTGAATTGCCAAACGGGTGTCTCCATCAGTTGCCTATCTCGGGGCTTCTTCCGTCTGGTTTTCGGGCCACGCACGGTGTGTTAGAAAAATTTCACTATTACTGACCGGGAAGAGAGGGTGTCAAAACCGGTAAGGCGTGTTAAGAAAAAAAAAAAGAATGTGGGGCGGACTAGAGTCAAGAGGGATTACGGAGTAGAAACTGGAACTGCAGAAGTGGCTGTGTGGTCTGGAGAAGTGCGTGCCCCGTATTGTTGGGTGTCGGTAAGGTAAAGCTGTAAGGCCCCGGGAGGGTCTCTGGGGTTGTTGGTTATGTGTACGCACAGTATTGGGGTTTTGGTTGGTGGTAGTAAGTAGTGGTAAGAAACCCTATCACGAACACGAACATCAGCAGCAGCAACCCGGTCTCAAACTTCGCACCGGCTATCGCGGATGATCTGGACAATCCTTCTCGATAGGCGACCGCGTAGATACCTTAGTTTCCCCATCGGTGTCGGTATGATGTTCACTCCGGTGGTGACCAAGCGCGGTTGATTACGCGATTTGTCTCGCCGGTCGGATAATGCGAGGCAGGAGGTAGGCAGTTTCCAAGAATCATCATCATCCATGTGATAGCTACCCTACTTTAACTTGATTGTTCATGCTCACTAGCCATCGATCATTTGCACGGAGAGAATCCGAATCATCATGATCACCAGTGGTGAAGTTATCTAGGCGGTAGGTAATTATGGTGTATTGATCTCGACCGAAAGCGTGATACGGTCAAGCGGAGATGGAAGATCGATTCAATTCCTCCATCTATCCACTACTACTACTACTACTACTACTACTACTGCTACTCTAGAAGGGGGGTGCAGCAGGCGCACACGAAACGAATCCCTAGAATGATGCCATTTTGATGATTGTCGATGATGGAGGTATGAGGTGATGATGTGCCTGCGGATGCAAGACTTATTTCTGGTTATGGTTTATAATTTGCTCATTTTTTTTTATTTTTCTTTTCTTCTTTAATTATTTATTTTTCGTGGTTTGTTTTTAATCATTTTCTGGCTCTCCTACGTGCGTATGTATTTCCCCAACCTGTCTGGGGCATTACCGGGGAAAGAATTTGTTCGACGAGATCTTCGAGACCGCCCAGTCCAGACCAGCTGATCGACCATCATTCAGCAATGGTTGGGTACTGAGAGAAGTAGATAACCAGCAGGGGAGATGAACTCACATCGAATGAGAGTTCCCAAATGACTCGAGGTGACGGGAGCGGTGATCATAGACAGTGCAAAGCGAAGGACCTGGTAGGGCAGACCGTTGCGCTGAACCAAGAGTCATACGATGGGCGAGATCCAATACATCATCATCCCCATGGGACGAGTTATCTACTCCTATTCCTTCTAACCTAGTATTTGTGTAGGTACCTCCGACTGTGTACCTAAATGAGGCTGCTGACGGAAACCACTGGATGGACTGGAGCACACGAAAAAGAGCCGGGATGACGTTCAGCCTGGTGCGGGTGAGGGCAGACTGACCGCAGTCGGGGGTTCAACTTTGTGGGGGAAGGACAGCATTGCATCAGCCTCATGACTCAGACGAATCATTGGCTCCGCCAACAACAACACTTCCCTTCAAGGGGGGCGAGGCGCAAGACGAGGCGAAACTCTCAGCTGGGCTTGCATTCGGTTGACAAACTGTACCCCAAGAACACGACGATGACTCGACCGTGTCATCTCTGGATGGCATCCCTCCGCGGCAAGGCAAGGCTACGTGGGAATGGCCAGCTAAGAAGGTACCTGCCTAAGTATGTAGGTACCAGGTATGTATCAAGGACAACTCGGGAGGGATTACTGTTGGCACCACGATTCGCATAATAACACCGGCTTTTAGACCCGTAATCCCGAATAGATTTCCATTCCTATTTAACCGGTCCTGCTAGGAACCCCCCTTTCAAGCGCCCCTGGAGTTATTTAGAAATAGTGTATAACTACCGAGAAGAATCATTTTCCCCCTCAAATGCAACCCCCTGGACTAGCGCTTAACTAGAATCTTCACCACTTCAGAGGACGCGCCGCCCTGCATCGTGTTTCATCAGTGTCAGGCACCCACGTCTCCGTCAAGAGAAACAACACGGGGCCGCCAAACAAAAAAAAAGGGGGGGGTAAATGTGAGACCGTAACTATGTGGGAGGGAACGAGGGCTCCGGTAAGCTCGGAAATTGAACTCCGCAATATCCCCAGGTCCACAACAATAGCTCTCTCTATCTGCACCCGGAATGTACTATTCCCTCCCCAGACAGATAGTCCACCACCTCCGGTACTATCCACGCAGCTACTAGATATCTACGTATAGTATGGCTCTTTTCAGGTTCAGTTGGGGAAATCTCCATGCGGAGATTTTGCCACCGGCTGTGGAGTCTATACATATTTAATTAATCGACCGATGACATTGTTCGCTGAATTGCACGGTGCTATGTAACCGGGGCAAAGAAAGGCCCAGGCGCCATCGGGATAAAGAAAGATACGGTCTCGGCAAGTCCAGCCAGCCAAGGGCTTCACGGACAGCCCTTCACGCGCTCGCCATCGCTTCTAGGCTTAACCTAGGATTCCATATCCGTAATTGGGTGGTATAGTATGCTCTCATATTTTTGTTTTATTTTCTAATGAAATTCCTCCTTTTGGAGTCTTGCGGAATCCTTATCTACGGGCACGCAAGGGTCATAGGAATAGATTGTATGCCACAGGTGGTGAATGACAACATACATGTCAGTAGTAGTGGACTAGTGGACTTGCATTCGAGGAAGCTCACTAAAAGTGCTACTAGATACTTACTACTCTGTACACTATATGAAATATCCGAGCTGGGAATATTGTTCCAAAGGAGAGTCGAAGGAAGCGGGAAATATGCATCAAGCCGTCAGAACAGGCCGCTTAGTGGCAGATCAGATCACAGGCACTCAACCCTCCCACCCCGAGGGGTCCGCGCCGACCGGGGACTAGTACTAGTAGTAGTATATTCAGCAAGATGGATGGATAGATAGATAGTAGATACCAGCTCGCTCCATTCTTGGAATTGAAATGTGCTTTAGTCTGCGGAGTCAAGTATGGGAAATCAAGGTTCCAGCTAGGCATTGTCATCGGATAAGATGCAGCAGGGTCATGTATCCGGGCTTGGGTGTGTAACACATGCCACCTCCATGGAGTCTCCTCCAGCCCACATTGTTGTCACCCGCGAGAATCGAGGGTGATGCGATGCTGTTATCTCGAACCCTGACCAAGGGGGGAGGAACCCGACGGATGAAACCCCCACCAGGGCGATATCGTGGTTTTGTTACCAGCTCTGATAGGCTAGACTCGGCTGACGGCCCTTCTTTGCGATCAGCGGATATCGGATCGTGACCTTGAATGGTTCGTTTGTTTGGAGCCTGGAGAGTCTCCCCGGCACGGCGGGATCAGAGAGGAAGGCGTCGCGACCTGGCCGATCACTAGAGATGAAAGGAGGGGGAAAGTGACTAATAAGATTCTTCAGATAAGAAGAAAAAGCACAAAAGTACTACTACCACTACGAGACTACGACACAGTACTCGTATACGTACACGCAGGAAGATACACAAGTGATCATTGATGGAGCAGGTGCCGCCCGCTGCAGATACCAGAAGGTGGCATGGGACATGTTCTCTTTCTCCGCCTAGAATTTATGAGGGGATCCGGCCGTCATCCCCGCAGACACCTGAGTATCTGCAATACACACGCACCATACTCCAACTCTCTTGGTAGGCCTATCTGGAAAGAACACTGCCTCGTTTCCTTATCTATACGGAATGATAATTGTGTATTGCACAAATTTTCTTGGGTGGGGTGGGGACCTCCTGTCTGGTCAAACATCTCTCACTACCATACACACCTGGTGCCGGACCGATTGCCGGCACTTTGCCGGTCAGTGAATTAATTAATCCCAAAG